AAAAAAAAAAAAAAAAAAAAAAAAAAAAAAAAATAGATTAATTAATTTGATAAGTAAACTGTAATTAATGTGTAACAGGATTGCTTGGAGATAAGAGAAGGTAAACAACACTTCAAAAGATACTAAGAAGTTTTTGAGAAACTGATCCTACAAAAACTTTTTTATTGTTAACCATACACACTATAAATTTTTTTGCTTACAAAAAAACGGAAGCAAGAATTTCCATCAATCCAGTACATTAGTATGAACACAAAAGGTCACAGGTTTAGCAGTATTGCGGAAATGAACATATAGTTTTCCCAGCTGCCAGAAAATTCTACGTAAAATCCTGGCTTATAGTAGACAAAGTATAAACTGAAACGACATTCCCCAAGATACCGATCAGAAAAATGCATAAAACTCTCCAGTTAAAATTAAAACTAATAATGTTTCGATTTTTATTGACAAGGAACAATAACAAAAAAAGAAAACTTCAATGAACTTTCCGCAATTACTTTTTAAAAAAATTGAATAGTCCAAATAAAGAGCTGTCATCGCATCAACTCAGTACCACCTTTTCCTTTCATTTTGTGACATTTACACGTTGCTCCGCAGAATGTTCTTTCAGAAAAAAATTAACTTAATATTCAAAGCAGTTTTGATATAAATTACTTAGTAGTAAATTTAAAACAGAAGGGAAATACATTTTCTAAAAACTGTTCATTTTCAGTGACTAAAGCTTTAAGAAATTTTGAAGATTTTTTGAATAAAAAAGATTTGTAGTAGCCGTAAGATTATAATTCATGGTTAGATACAAAAGAAATGTAAAGAAAAATGTTGAAAATAATACAACTACAATTATTACTGAAAGTTAAACGAAATAAGCTACTAACCGCTGCAGATGTCGTTATTCTCTCCAGTCAGTTGAAGCTGATCCTTTATTAGTGAATTTGATGAGGACGTTGAGCACCGTAAAGGCTCATGAAACAAATAACATTGATGATCGCAATTAATTTTATTACACAATAACTGCAAATGATCACGTTCCAGACGATACATGATCATCCAAAAATAGGGACTAATTTAAAACCAAAAAACGTTGTTGTCCACACATCAAACGAATGGATGAAAGTCCTACGATGCTACCACAGCAACCGACGACTGAGCAACAATTGCTCAGCTCATCAGCCGATGCATGTAAAGTAGTTTTCATTGATTACATGGAACTTCACTGCCAACGAGACTAACGATGAACACTCTTCATTAAGCTAATCTACAACAAAGCTTTAATTCTTCTGTTAGAAAAAAAAACAAAAAATTTCCTCACATTTATGCTAATTCTTTGAGCACCGATTGCAGCGGCAGATATGATTTTCAAAATCAGCCTGTTTTTCTTTTTTTTTTTTTTTTTAAATTAAAAATAACAAAGTAAAAATTCCTTACCTAATTACTCCTGCTTTATACAGCGTTAAGAATACTAAAAGCACTGTAAATAAAACTGATGACAAAAAATGCAAATAAAAACAACAGAAGCAGTAATAATAATAATAATAATAATAATAATAATAATA